TAATTTGTTGTATTTGTTTAGATTGTTTGTTGTCAAGTGTAAACCAACACCCAAGAAATTTGAGTGGTTGGTTTGGTGGTTGTAATAAAAGTGTTTAGTTGTTAAAGGTAATTGGATAGTGAGGATTAGAGGTTGAGTTAATAGTGAGGACTGATTTATTTGAATTTACTTGGATATTAGCCATAGAATAGAAGGATTCTGCAATTAAAATTATTTTAGTTAGTTCTATGTGAGGATACAACCCATAGGGTGTCATCCATATAAGCAAGGACTGAGCATCTGGTTTTAATTTGGTTGGTTCAGAAGTTTTTTAAACTAGTAAACCAAGAACTTTGCATTTGATATCCAGGTATAGTAGAATGTATATGGGAGATAAGAGGGTCATAGTAAATACGCCAAAGTAATGGTGTGATTGTTTCTCCTTGGTCAATTCTGTTTTGCACAAGGTAAGAGGGTGTAAGGCCAAGATTGGTAATGACATCATTGTGGCAACCAACAAACAGGTTGGAGATTGTATTAATAATTGAAGCAGGAAGTTCAAGATGTGAAAGAGTGTGATATAGAAGAGTAGAGTTAACAGAATTATAGGCCTTGCTCAAGTCCTGGAACAAAAGCCAGATTTCTTTGTGGTTACAGCTTGCATCTTCAATAAGGTTGTTGAGGATATGTATAGGAATAGAAGTACTGTTGTCTGGAAGAGCAACATAGTTATAGGGAGAGAGAATAGAGTGTTGAGAGAAGACATTGTTTAATCTATTTGTAAGGATTTTAGTGTAAATTTTTCTGGCATGTTCTATTAGGCTGATAGGGTAAGTTAAGTTGAGATTTCCATCAAATGTATTTCTTTTTGAAATAGGATAGATTCGACTATATTTCCATTGCTTTGGAATATAGTTTTCAGAAAGGTATCTGTTTAGGAGGGCGACAAATGCAGTTATACAGTGGTGGCTGAGGTGTTTGAACATTTTATAGCTTATACCTATAGGGCTACAGGCTTTGTTGTTAGGAAGCTTGGCAATAGTTTGAAGGACCGCTTCAATTGTAATAGATGTAGTAAGAGGATTGTACCAGTTTGGGTTAATGTAAGATAAAGAAGAGTAATATTGTTGCCAGATGTTATTAAAAAGTAGCTGATTAATAGGTTTGTGTGCGGTCCAATCATTAAAGCGTTGTTGTATATGCTGTTTGATGTCTGTAGAGTTTGTGACAAGTTGGTTTGGAAGCTTGATATTAGAAAAATAAATAGGAGCCTTGTAGTGGTCGAGTATACTGTTAATTGCATGAGTGGGCCTGAAAACAAAAGTTTCATATCTCTTTTCTAAAGCTTGGTTAATTTGTTGTCTGAGGTAAAGTAAATATTCTAAGTAGTATACATAGTACACCTGTTTCCAAACAGTATAAGCTTCTTCAAGCCATACTTGAATATAAGCAGGATCTAATATTGAAGGTGACTGAAGATTGTATTTTGTATATTGTTTAATTAATAAGATATCTAAATGAATATATTGCAGATGTGTATCTGACTGGTTAGTATTTGAGCAGATTGTTTTGATAAGGTGGCTGAGTTTTTTAAGTTCTGTATAGAGTGCAGTGCAGTGTGGGCTATACTTATGATTATAGCTACGTTTGCATATGACTTTGTTTGGAACCTTTTTAATTGCAGCCTGTATGATACAGTGCTGGATCTTATGCCAAATGCTATCAATACTAATGGTAGAGTTGGTAGAGGTAGAAATACGATGTTGTTGAAAAAGTTCAGTGGCAAAGTCAGAAAACTCCAGCCAGTGGTTAGAAGATATTGATTTATAGTTAAAAATTTGGCAACAGATATTGGCGCATAAATGAGGTGGTTTACTATATGTATTTGGAAAGGTCCAAGTAGTAGAAAGTATGAGGTGGTCATTGTGTGTGCTTGTTTTACTATTATCAAAATTGTAAGCAAGGAGAAATTGAATGTTGAATAAGTTAGTCCAGATGTAGTCAATTCTGCTAGAGCTTGTATTGTTAGACCAGGTATGTGAGATATTGTTTGAGTGGGAGCTGATATCAAACATGTTTGAATGGTGTAGAAAGTTAATAAGTTTAAATCTGGCAAAGGAGCTAAATATGTTGTCATGTGTATTAAAGTCACTGAGAACAATAGGATGAATATTTTGCTGTTGGGCTTGCAAAACCCAGCTAATGACAGTGTTTTGAGTAGCGTTTCTTCGAGAGGAGTTAGTGGAGAAGAAATACACAGATATGATTTGGAGTTTAATAGGGTTTTTAAAGAAGAAATCAATTGCAATTGCACCACCAGAGTGTGTTTGGCAACTATATACATTAGGTTTAAGAAAACTGCGTATTATAATGGCAGACCCTTCAGCAGAGCTATCAGAGTTTACCCAGTAGTAAGTATAAAGATTGTTGTTGCAAAAGGATAGTTTTGTTTTATGTGAAATTTTTGTTTCAGAAATACTGGCTATTGTGATATTGTGGTAGTTACAATAATCTTGCCAAGTTTGTCTTTTAGAAAGAGTGTTAAAGCCCCGAACATTATGTATAGCTATAGTAAGATGCAAGTCATGGTTATAGATAATGAGGGACAAGTATAGAGGGAGGGTGTGGAAGAGTTTGATAAGTTTGTGTTAAGACTTGGTGGGGTGTAGAGGTTAGTATTGTATAAGATGGAAGCAGGTGTTTGTAAGCATGCAGATGAGTCAATAAAGAGAGAGTCGTCAATAGGAGTTGGTATAAAAGGGTTATTATTTGTAGTTTGTATGTAAGATTTGAGAGTGGTATATCTGAACCAGTGAAGTAAGTCTTGAAAAGGAGGGACAAAGTGATTTGGAAGTGGGCAGGTTTCATTAGGTAGATAGATATGTGCTTCTTCATAATTATTATTTTTGTCTTTCTTGTTAAAAATAGAGATTTTAATATAGTAAAGTGAATAGTATGAGGAGAATTCTTGAAAGATATAATGTAGAAAGGTGGAGATTGTTTGTGGATATACAAGTGGAGGTAGTTTATAATAAAAAAGAAATTTATTGTAGCATGTATGAAGATCTATAGTTCTGAGCATTTTTGTTACTTGAATAATTGTTTTATAAGAATAGTAGTTTGGTATATAGTAATCTTCACTATTATATTCTTCTTCTGATATTACTTCATATGATGAGTCAGAAAGTTGATCATTGTTGATGTTTAGTGTAGTAGGTGGATCATAGGAGATTAAAGATGTTGAAGATGATACCACCAGAGAATTGTTTTTTGCATTAGTCACCATATATCTGGCTTACACAGTTCCGCAAGAGTTAGCAACAATCAGGTTAGACATTAGAGAGTTGTTTAATCCTAACCCTTTCGAGTAAATTGGCTTAACCACCTGCCCACTTATATCATTTTCCTCTCTAACTACAAGGGGTGTATCTTTCAGAGAGGCGGTAGCTGCATTAATGTAGTTTGCAAAAGACATATTTAATGAAAAGAAGATTTATTAAGAAATAATTAATCATTGATTTGAGTAGGGACTTCGAAAGCTATATTGTGTTTTTCAGAAAGGATTCTTTCAGCTTTGGAGTAGGCAATATTTGTATAGTATTGTATAAGGTAACGGAAAGAGGATTCTTTTGTATAAGCTTGTTCAAAGTAAGTGATAATTCTTGCTAAATAGTCAGTGCTAACTACTTTAGCATTAATTTTGTTGATAGTGTCTGTTTTTGTTAAATGATGAATTTGAAGATTTTTAGCAGCTTGTTTTTGATATGTTTGAAGATATTGGTAGAAGAAACTATTTTGGCATTTAATAGAAGAGATGGTAACATTTTTGGTACAGAAGTCTTGTTCTGCTAAATCTGCTAGTTTGTCAAGAAGTTTGGTTGGAATTGGTTTCGAGAAGGTAGCTTCATTACTTGAGTCTGAACCAAAGATTGAGGGGTCAATTTTTATATTAGGTGTATTAATTTCTTTTAGGTATTCTTCATAGGATTTGGTTAGTAAATTTTTGAAAAGTTAAGAGATATCATGTTTGTGATTTGCTTAAACAAGATTGCAGTTTTCATGTTTACAAGTTAGAATATGAAAATTGAGGTGTTTGAAGCATTTATCATGGCGGTCCTCATAGCAGATGGGTTTTTAGAAAGTATTGAGTAGAGAAGAGAGGTATTGTTTAAGTTGGAGAATGTAGGTTCTTCAAATTTTAGATTTAAGTATATTATTAGTTTCTTCTTTGTTTAATAGATCTTTAAATTGGCAGTTATAAATAGGGAAGAATTCATCAAACCATTTGTTAAAATAGTCTAAGAAGTTTTGAAGTGAAGGGATAGAGAATTGTTTAAGAAAAAGAGTAACAAGTAGGTTGAGAAGTAGATGGATATTGAATTTGTCATCAGATTTGATAGTTAGGTGTTTTCCATCTTTGTTGGTGCTAACAACTTGGGGTATAAGTTTGTATGTTTTGCATTGAAGGTTAAGTGTTTCTGCAAATTTGTTGTAGTCGATTGCTTGATATCTATCATAAAGGTAGAGGTGTAGGCATGCTAAATTAAGATAAAATTGTAGGCGATTTTCAAGTTTATATAGTGAAATTGTTGCAGGTGAGGCAAAAATTTCAAGATAGTTGAGTTGAGTAAAGAAGATAGAAGTGAATTTTGCAATAATTTTTTAAGAGTTTCTTCTAATGTATGACTTTTTTCTACCAAATTCGCAAAATATGCAGTCAAATTTATATAATATTCAATTTAATTCATATAGCATACAATCAAATTCATGTCTCAACCAAATTCATATCTCAACCAAATTCATGTCCCAATCAAATTCGTATCTTAACCAAATTCATGTTTCAATCAATTTCATATCTCAACCAATTTCGTATATATCCTAATCAATTTCATGTCTCAAACAATTTCATACATATCCCAACCAATTTCATAACTAACCAATTTCATGTTCTAACCAATTTCGTGACTAACCAATTTCATGTCCCAACCAATTTCATGTCCCAACCAATTTCATGTTCTAACCAATTTCGTGTCCCAACCAATTTTGTAACCAACCAATTTCATATCCCAACCAATTTCGTGACCAATCAATTTCATGTCCCAACCAATTTTATGTCCTAACCAATTTTGTACCAACCAATTTCGTGTCTCAGCCAATTTTGTATCCCAACCAATTTTGTGACTAACCAATTTCGTGACCAACCAATTTCGTGACCAACCAATTTCATGACCAACCAATTTTGTATCCCAACCAATTTCGTGCCCTAACCAATTTTGTGTCTCAACCAATTTTGTGTCCCAACCAATTTCGTGTCCCAACCAATTTCGTGACCAACCAATTTTGTAACCAACCAATTTTATGTCCCAACCAATTTCATAACCAACCAATTTCGTGTCTCAACCAATTTCATGTCCCAACCAATTTCGTGTCCCAACCAATTTTGTATTCCAACCAATTTTGTATCCCAACCAATTTCAAGTCCCAACCAATTTCATGTCCAACCAATTTCATGTCCAACCAATTTTTCAATTTTATGCCTTAACCAACTTCATTCCTATAGTAACGTGAAGTATATAAGCAGTTAAGGTTGAGTTGGTTTGTAT